CTGAAACTACCGAATGTGACACACAAAATGTTTTTGCCAGGTGGTTAAACATTGAGCCGCCTATAAATCCAACATCTATTTAGCTTCTGCTGGTGCTTTTTTAGATTAAGTCTGAGATCTTTTTCGACATTTGGTCTATCATTTGCCATATTGGTTAGAATCCGACTCAAATCCTGTCTGAGTCTAGATTTATTATCTAAAAACTTAAATAATTTCCTCACTCTACAGCATCAATCTCCTATTAGTTTTGCAAAGAGTCTTGATATAATATATCATTGTCCTTGTCGGAATGATATTTTCCCATCAAATTGCGATGCCGACGAAACGTCTGAGAATGTACCAAGTGAACGGTACGATGCTGGAAACCACGAATAATATGACAGAGGACGGAGGACTATGTACGCTGTACAAGGTCTCGCTGATGCTGCGGCCAAGTTAAGAAAACGAGGTCAACCAACACTATAAGGGGGTTATGGCGACTAGAAAATCAAATTAATTAGATAATTAATTGGCACATGTTTTGATTTTGAGGTGAATTATCCAAAATGTGAATTAAAAATAATTACCAAATTACTGCAGAATTCAGGATGTAAACGACTAGAGTCGCAAATTGTCAGCTCAACTCAGAGCTGGAGCTTTAGTTGTCACGGTGAACGAAGAGATGCAACTCTGCCGTACATCGCGAAAGATTGAGTAGTCCACATGATGCAGCGATAACTGTTTTAGATGCCTTGACAACTGGAGAAAGTATGAATCTCAATCTTGACCTTCTATGGTTCGGGACTTTTGTTCTTTTTTCCGAAATCGCGTTGAAGCATGTGCAAACCGAGTCAGGCCTTACTTCTAAGCCTCATTGAATGGACTTCAGGAAATATGATCTGCTTTCTGCAGTACCACTTCTAGTACAGAGAATGATCGTGTTTTTTTGGTACCGTGGTCTGGATCTCGCCAACTTTATTAGATTTCCCTTTTTAGGCTTGTAATCATGCTACTCACGAGTAGTGCAAGCCTATGACGCTTATTCACATGTTTTGGTGGTTGGATCAGAAGGAGGAACAGGTTGCAGATGAAACAAGCCTACGTATGCATTCACACACAATAGCAGGGGAGCCAGCCTTGCTGGTCTGCAGTTTGATACCATTTTTTGTTTTAACTCACTTGCCCATTTTCTCCTGCCTTTCCGCTCTGCCAGATCAGTGACCGGCCGGTCTGGTGGGGTGGGATGGGCTGTAGTTGCCAGGCGGTCACATTTGCATACACTTTAATGGAGTCTGATGCAGCAAGCCCTTTATGTTGGGGCGACATTAGCCTTCTTGCCTGGACCCGACAGGACGGTGCAAGAGGCTGGTTCATTTGGGCGTTGTTACAACTCCAACTGAAGCCTCACACAAATTTACATAAAAATGTATGGTCACTCACATTTATTCGCCCAGTCCAGCAGATCGGCCGTCTTCCCACATTCATTCTCGCAATCGAACGGCCAACTCGGCACAAAGATGCCATCAACACACGCATACATGCACATAAATGCACACATAAACACACAAATATACAGGTCGAGACGGTGAGGTGTGGCGGAGTTGTGAATTTCAAAGACCACGTACCATTTTGTGCGTGTGGGGAGAGGAGACAATTGAAGACCTCGTGGATGGAACATGTTAATGGAGGTGTGCTTGAGGTCGGACGAAGCCGAGAACCGAGAACCGAGGCCCGAGGCCCTAGGACCGAGTGGGAGTCGAGTCTGCGAAGGCTGGAGGACCGACTGTATCGTCGTGACCTTTGCATGTCGACTGTCCCCCCCTTCACGAGGCCGACTGCTTTGCATAATGTCCCATGTCCACGCCAGCCGAGGCTCAAGCCTCTTCCTCTTCCTCCTCCTCTTGCTACAACACTTGCCCACTTTCATCATCTTCTCGACAGCCTCATTTTCCGTCTCTTGTTCGCTTCGAAAGCATCTCTTTAAACGGCTTTCGTCATCGTTTCGCTGTCCTCTTGTCCTCTTCGGAGTGTGCGTCATTCGGGCTTGACTTTGCAACCTCACCGGGTCCGTGTGGTCCGGTGCCGGGCTCGCAGACATGTCCGGGTTTCAGCCAACTTGGCTAAACATGTCCACGGGCAACATGCAATGCTGGCCACAACCGACCAAGTGCCCCACCTCCACAGGATCGCATCTCGTGCACCGTTGCCTCAACAACCCGCATGGACCATGCTTGCCCGAGATGATGTTGTGGACAAGCTGGTGCCAGATACTGAGGCTCGGCTGGAGCTCATCGAAAAAATCACGGTTGCGTTCAGTTGATGTGAACCTGTTTGGCGAAACTATGGACTGGTAGTAGCGTTTTCACACAATCATATGAGTTGAGCTGACCTTTCCATTCAATTTCACACGGCTTTGCTTTCCCAAAAGTTGTTCTCATCCAGACACCAGTCGACTGGTGTCTGGATGAGAACAACTTTTGGGAAAG